CTAGGAAGTAACAATTAAGTTCAGGAATGTAGATTTCATTTACAGGAAACTATTTTTGAGATGTAACATCACTCAGAGAACAGACTTGGATTGGTATAAGCTAGATATTAATGGCTTTCTCATGTTGGGCATGGTATAGATCCGAATGTGATTAAGTGAGCCGGAATTCTGCCACTCTTTGGTGACAATAACCTTGAGTCCTGAAATGAAACATAGGAACATCTTAGCAAGAGAGTAGCTACTCTGAATAATTGAAGTGAAGTATTAGAAAATTTCAGGATAGATGGGAAGAGCAGACCTCAGGATGAGTAGTTTAAAAGAACTACAGTTTTCAAGATCTAATTATTATGCAAAAACTGAGAAGCTTAAAAAAATCCTTAGTGTTACAGTTACAGTTTCAGTCTTCTGGCCAATTTATTTCTAGGTGATGGCATAATTAACATAACTATGGAGGCAGCTCAAATTTGTTTTAATACTGCTTTACTGTTAGCAATCCTATCAGTCCTAGCAGAGTCTCTAAACCTAGTTTTCAGCCTATTAGTACAGGATCTCAACTGTTACTTTGAAACATATTGATTTTTCAGCCTACACATGCTTTTACTTGTTTGTGATCTTATCTTACTCAAATTTCAGAACCACACAATTGACTGCTAAGATAAAGAATGCAAAATTATTCACCCAGTTTGGCTTCAGACAAACAAATGGAACTCAACACAAACAAAGAGAGTTGTATCCAAGCATTATTTGCCTGAGTTCTTAATATTTCAATACTTTGTGGAAAAAGCAAGTTGGGTAACAAGCTGTTTTGACTTCACTTCCAGTACACTTTCTGGTTTCTCTAGTCTCCAAAGCCAAGAATCCAGTCTAAAGATGCCACAAAGCTTCAGCATGCTTAAGGCAAGACAGTGCTGTGTTCTTTTTCAATCTTTGTTGCTACACTTCGGAATAAAATAAAAGTTTTGCCATAGTGTATAAAATAAATGCAGTCTAAGATGTTACCTAAATCCCCTACACTTATTTCATATGTGATTTATGCTTAGAGGAAAGAACCTTGAGGTGGAACTGGTTACATATGCATTTTCAGCTGAAACAAGTTCTGAATTTGAAGCATGTCATTGGAAGCACCCTGCTTTGACAAATTTTCAGCAATCAGAGCTGAAGTCTGATTGAAGTCTCCCCAAAATGGGGCACCACACCTGTCGGAACTCAAAATGTCCCTCAGACATTTTTAGAGGTTCCAGGCCTCGGTCAGAAGCATTTTAGACCCCGGCAAGCAGCAGAAAACAGCTGTGATTTTGAGTTTGAACCATGGAATGAATTACCAACTTTAAAGGTGGAACAAGCAGTCACAGAGGGTTAGATGGTATAGTAAAAGTAGTCACAAATTAGAGGGTAAAATTTTTTAGTATTGTACAGGGGGGTTTTAACACCTGTACAGGGGGGTTTTACTTTGTACAGGGGGGTCAGGAGTTCTAAGATGGAGGAAAATGGGCCTGATCCTGTTCTTCCTCCTTCTTCTTCCTTACCTCCATGTTCTTGGTGATGTTGGCATTTTTCTATTGGTTTAGGCTGGGGACACACTGTTCAACGTAGATGATAGATATTGGCACATTATTGTAAATATAGTACACGTAATTTCTGGTATATAATGTTTGTACCATCCCACTGAGGGGCAGAGCCCCGCACACTGCCCTGCAGGACAGAGCTGCGGCAGGGCAGCAGAACTTGTTATAGATAAGCAAGAATAAACAACCTTGAAAACAGCACAGACGAACTATGGCTTCTTCTTTGGCAACAGGGCAGAAAGACAGATACTTTCTACAATCTCGGAATCACCAATACCCACAGATTCCGACACACACCCACCAGGTCTCTGGTCTTCAACCTGCTGGCAAATGGCCTGTGCATAGAGCATCCAGATCATCCATCTCAGGATCAGCTGACACAACTTCCTCAAAGAACAATTGTGACTTTTCTAGAAAAAACTCAGCCCTTGCAAGTGTCCATATCTTAGCATGAGACTATTGCTCCACTGTTCTGTAGGAAATGGAACCAGCTTTGTAGAAAGCAGCCTCTTGCCTGCTCCAGGTTATTGAACCGGCAGCTTGAAAGCCAAGCTCCCGCAGCCCCAGAAATGTCCTGACAGTCTGCAAGCCTCAACTGTGGCCCTGTGAACTTCCTAGCTGCACTTTCTAGCTAAGTAAAGTATTTTTGATTCATTGCCTTCATTTTGTAGCAGCTTCTTTGTCTACATCAGTACCAGGGAGGACAGGACCTGATTTTTTGAACAACTTTTGTTTCTCCTCAGCAGGCCTTGATACTCCTTGCCCATGTTACAGACAGGGCCACTCTTTCAATGCCAACTGGGAAGTGTTTGTCAATTTCTGTTTTCTTTTAACTTCCTCTGCACAGATCTGGAGAGTGACTGCCTATAAATACTTGCTTATAGGGTACGTGGGAAACTACTCTCTTCTACAGGGATCGTGTTTTCAAGTCATATTTTACAGAGGGATAATAAAGGACCTGAATCAAATTTTTCTGCATCAGCATCCCAGTCATTCATTCATTTGACCAGATGGAAAAGCCTCATCACAAAATAAAGGCTGCAGTCTAAAGTGATGGTTTCAAAGAAAGCAGGATCCCAAAGCTAAAGGGCTCACAGTATAATGGAGATAAGCAATCTTTTCCAAATAAAAATAAGCGGTTTAGTGATATCCACCAAATATGATATGCAAATTTTCAAGTCTTACTATAAAAAACTTTTCCAGTCAATTCTGAATGTGTTTCAGACTGGTCTATGAATCAAAAAATATGCATTAAAACAGAGACTAGAATGTGTGACTGAATTCCAATTCAGTCTTTGCAAGTGAATTCCAGGCATCACAGAATGGTTTTCAAGATGTTAGTCAAAGCAGTGGAATATGTATTTAAAGGCAAGCTTAATCTTGACTGCATTTTGAATGAAAACATTTGGAAATTCATGCTAATGCATTTTTTTATTACACTTTCATTTTTTACAGTATTCAAAAAAGCAATTGGAAATTAAAGGCTGCAATCCTGCAAATATCACCATTAACTTTAATAAAACTACCAGCATGCTGCTAGGGGCTGCTAAATACCAATAATTAATAAGTGTACATTTTCTTAAAAATCTTTACTGAACCAGTACACTACTGTGTCAGCATTAACAATGAAATCATTCAAATTTTTCAAGATGTTGTTGAAATTACTATGAATTTTTGAATATACACATCAATCAAAACAACCAGCCAAAAAACACGAAGGTTTTGGGAAAGGCCAGACCTTAATTTGATACTATACTGCACGGAAATGCTTAGAACTCCGTGAAATGGATGTAAAAGATTTGCTGTGAACAGCTCGCTGTGCTTTTGAGAAGTACAAGAGACAAAGAGTATTCCCAAAAAAATCACCATGTGTTTCACAGCCCCTAGACAACACCAAAAAAATACTTTAGAAATGTTTGTCCAGAGAGAGCACATAGAGAGTTTCTATCAGCTTCAGTAAACCTTGCAATAAGTCTCATTGTACTATTTTAAAGACTATTTAAGAAACTTAGTCTATAATAGTACTTTACAGTACTGTCATTCCTGAGTAAGAATTACTAATTTCTTGGTGCTGTTAGTATACATTCGTTAACTGGAGAATGGTGATCAGAGAGAATGTCAGAAATCTTTTTTTTATCTTGTGCTTTGTTTAGCCATCTTTCCTCTTTTGGGTGAACGAGTTGTGGTAGCATTTCAGTCTTTGTCCTCATTACTCCATGAAATTATTATTTTGTGTGTGATTATCTTTCAGTCCAGTTTGTACCTCACTCATGACACAAGGGTGGTAGGAGCATTCTGCCAGAAGGCAAAGGGGAAAAAAGCTACAGAAGAACTATCTAAGTGAAAATGTTTGCAAGTCAAAGGGAGGGCACATTTAACTTCACAAAAGAAAATTCTGGTTTCTGTTGTAATGTTGGTTACACAATCACATAAGGTTTTATTTTTTAAAGCAAGTAAAAAAATTATAGTGCATCAGCTCTTTGACTGGTGTAAATCAAGATGGTTTTATTGACTTTGATGGAGCTATGTCGATTTATACCAGATGAGGATTTGGCCTACTGTATGGAGATATTTTTATTTCTCTTCTCACTCTATCAGTTAAAGAAAGGGTAATAATCAGCAAGCTGGAAGCAATTATGCGTGTGTGAGGAGGGGGTAGTTTCATAATAGCTAACTTGATATTATTTCCTGTAAAATGCATCAGGAGACTAAAGCCTAGAGCCTGCTGACCAGTTTGTTTTGTAAAGAAATATTTGTTCAAATCTGTTTATAATAATTTGTCAAATTATGGGCAGATTCAGCTGAAGCACTTGCCTTCCACTGACACCAGAGGCAGCAGTTCTGGAGCTGATCAGGGCACCAAGTGGCACCCATGAGGGAAGACCCAGGCAAAATTTGGCTTTCACTTGCATCTGCGTAAATCTGGAATAATTCTACAAAAATCAGTGGAAATATTTTCTATTTACAAGTGTGCCTAAAAGCAAAATTTGGCACCGTCTTCAACTAAGCATTTATAAGCTGTTTTTGGCAACAAATAAGGATGGGGGATGGGAAGATTATTCATTGCAGATGCTTTGTAAGATTACCAGAGGCTTTCGGGTGACAATAAAATCTACTAACATAGTCACTTTTGGAAAATGCTTTTGAAAATGTGATTTGAGGGAGTTTCCTGTTATCCTTTAATTCTTACATCATTTCATGGTGGTTAAAAATACTAACCAAAACCTCAAGTGAAATTATTTAAATTGTTCTCCTTACAGTGGTGAGGCAGATGAGTCCCAGCCTGCAATACCAAGTGGACTAAAGCAATTCATGGCAAGCAAAGATTTCTAAGAAACCGTCTTGGATGAACGCATTTCATAAGGTGCAGTTTAAGTATTGTTAAGCAGCCACACATTGACAAGGGAGCTGAAGACAAAATAATCACAACTAAAATAAATGGAAAGATTTATGAATTTATTTTAAAGTTACAATGCAGATTATTCTGAAGTACCAGCATTATCACTATAAACACTAACGTATACCAACCAGTGTTTGCAATGTAGCTCATTCATCTGATCTCTTTGCTCTCAGGAATGATTTAATTTTTTGTAATGCTTTTATAATGTTCTAACCTAAGAATATTAATAAAGGGACTTCCTGCCCTGCTAGGGTGAACATAATTATACTAGGCTAATGGTGTTTTTAGCACTACAGCTTATACCCATATAACTAGCTCTTTCTGATCTACAGGTAAATAAATCCCAAAACCAGCATGTAGGTGAACCCTTAAGCAATAGCAGACAACTCATAAAAGAGTGGAAAATACACAGTTCAGAAATTATTATGCATAAACACAGCTCTTGCCCCAGCTAGGCAGAGCCCCAAGGAGCCCTTCATCCCTGCACTGGCCCTCTCTAGCCCTCCCAGCTGTGTCTCCCTGGGAAAGGTCAGGTAGCCTATTCATCAGACCCTGGACTTTGATTTAAAGTATGTATATGTCTATCATTTCCTGGATTCTTTTGAAACAAAGAAGAAGCAGAAAATTTCCAAGGAGTTTGCTTATTTTGGGATTCTTTTTTTAATAGCTTACATGCAACCGCCTTAAAACCTAAAGAAAGCTTTTCAGCTAGGGCAGGTGATGGCATTGTGACATTGAATTTAAACCCACCTTCTTGTAGTGAATATGTAACTTTACGTATAAAGTGCTGCCTGGTTTATTCTGTGTGTTGCTGCAATGCATCGTTCACTAATTTTCTTACTCAGCTATGCATGGAAATTCATGGGGTGTTTTTTCCCAGTAAGTTTCAAGTGTATATGCTGTTCTACACTGAAAAAGATAACTGCAAGATCATTATAAGATTTTTAGTGAGAACATAGAATAGAAAAATAAATGAAATAATGAACCAGGAACTACATTGATTGACTGAATTTCTATGATTATGTCTGTGTACATAGGGGCATGTGTTATATGTATAATGAATTATTCTATTTTTTATAAATGCATGCACTCAATTGTTTTTACTATTTAATATATTGCACAAAATATAACTGCTTACAGACAGTATTCCAAAAATCAATACCACAAAATCAATTCACACTAAGAATAATTTAAAAGGATGAGAAAACTTTATTTTTCTGCTTGGGTTTCAGATCTTTACAGGAAGGAAAAAAAATTAAAATATCTCTTTCAAACGTGGTGTGTGCTGTAAAGATGATGATCCAGGTAAAAAGATGATGTGGACAGAGGTTACAACTGAAGTCAGGGATAGAGAGAAGATTAAATTCTAAACCATGACCCTGTTTTCATAGCAATGTATTAAGGAAACATAATAGAATTACATACCTAAACCAAAGCATTTTGAAATAAGGCATCTGTAAGATTTTTCCATGAGTTTTAGGCAGTTTATGATGTACTGTGATGGTCAGATTTCTGCATTTTAGTATTGCTCAGCTTTCATGGTAAGAGTGGTCCAAAGCCTGAATATGAATTTCAGAGATAAACTGAACAGTAGCCAGAAAAAAGGTTAATATCACAGTAGTAAAAGGTTTGTATGTGTCAGCTAACTTTAGAAAAGACTAGGTGATCATTAAATCAAGTGAAGCTTGAATGTAGGAATAAATTTGAGTTTGGTGTTAAACTATATAGAGTGTCAGGTACTACACCAATATCTAATCCTCTACATACTACTGGAGTTAGTGCTTAGTACAGCAGAACTTCAGCCTGTAAGCACAAGTTCTCATGGGGAATATCTGTGGCATGCACTGCATCCCTGTTTTGTCCTGATCAGGGACCAAGACAATCCTGTCACTAGGCAGAACTGAAGTCTGCTGAGAGATCTCTAAAAGCCACCTCTTGGGGTCCTGAAGGAGCCACTGCTAATCATTTGAGGCTTGGCTCACCTGCTGTTACCCAGATGCAGAAGAGAAGTGACCCAAGCACCAGCTGAACCCCCTAGCCAGGAAGGACTTGGGTAAAAACTGACAAAAGAACCAGATTTCCCTTCCAAATGCTCTAGCCTGATTTGAGAAGAAATATTAATCATATCTTTACTGTCTAAAATAGAGAAATAGAGTTCAGCTATTCTGAGGTACATATTTAAGGTTCTGGAGGCCTCACAGGGTTTTTTGGGGATTGTTTTTTCATTGGTTAGTTGGGTTTGGCTGGGGTTTTTTTGTTGTTTTTGTTTTGGTTTTTTTGGGGGGGTTTGTTTTGTTTGTTTTTTGGTGGGTTTTTTTGTTTGTTTGTTTGTTTTTTTACTACACATGTAATTAACTGGTTTACCAGTTAGAAAGAAATATTTGCAAGCAAGAGACATCCACCTCTTTACAGTCATCATGTTCCCTTAAGTATTATGACGAGTGGAACAAATAGGGCTGGAAGGGATCTCTGAAGATCATCTATTCAAACACAGATTGATATAGCAAAGATCAAATTGCTGGAATATTTTCACAGCCTGAATCTAACTCTACTACAAGGTTTTACAAAAAGAATTACTGTGGGACTTGAGAGTTCCTCGGGAAGAAATGCAAACAGAAGTAACAGAATGACTTCTAAAATGCTGTTGCTCAGCTTGACCTCCAATTGAGTACCAGTTTAGGAGAAGTTTTAATTTAAAAATTTAATTTGATTAGTCTGGTTAGTCTTGAAATTTAAGAAGCTAGTGTCAAGGCCCATAGAGCTTGAGACCAAGTACAAGTCTAATTACCAGACTGGAATTTTTACATTACTACAGACAAGAGTATTGGAGGAAAACTGTCATGATTCAGAATACAGAAACCACATTCTCCCTATTTTCTGGCCATCCCACTCAGCCTCTCAGAGGGAGTGTTCAGAGTGGAGTAAGTGAAGGCAGATAACCACATTCCCAATCTGCTGTCATCCTCAGACAGCAGAATTTACAATGATGTGCCTTCTGCTTACCAAAGACAAGTGATGAAATCAAAGAGGGTTTAAGTAACCTCTCTTGTCAACAGGTGCCTTCACTATAATTACTCGTAGTTGGCCTTTTGCCAACAGGCAAAATTTCAATTAGCTTTTTAGCAAATTTTTGCCATGTCTCCGCTTAGAAAACTCCAGATGAATCAGCTAAAATGTGTGCAATTTAAGACATCTTAAACTCTACACAGATCCTCTCATTCAAGAGCAAAGAGTCTGCAAAACTCTAACATATCTCCCCTTCTCGAGGCATCATAGTCACAAAGTATTAATCTCTTTTGCCAGGTAGCAGATCAGGATTCAAGCATTCGCCAGGGATATTCTTATTTACAGCTTGGTGTTTTTGTACAAGCCCACCATTATTATTGGCTTGAGACAAAACCCTGGGTGGTGAACAGGAAGGGATGAGGTGTGTTACCCACCTTGCTCCACTCTGCAGGAAGAGTAGCAAGCTGCTTATGCTAATGCACTGAACTGCCTGGCTAGATTTGGCAGAGGTGCCTATCCAAGTTTTTGGTTCATTATAAGCAGATAATACTAAGTAGCATCAAACTAAAGTCGCTTGATTTGTACTGGAAACCTCCATCTTGGGACTGAATGCATTTTAAAGGCCCTGACAGATGGGCTCTGCTGAACTGAGCAGCAGCAATCTGTGTCACTTTACCTCCCCCATGGCTGCTGTGCCTGTCCCAGGGCCGTCTGTCCCAGCAGCAGGGGAAATGAGCAGATGCTGGGAAGGGCAATTTCTCCACAGGGTCTGGCCAGTGGCCTGTGCAGGGAGAGGCAGCAAGCCCCTGCTTTGGCCACTGCTAGGGCAAGGACTCTGGCAGTGAGGCGGGGGAGATGGGAGGCAGACAATGTGTAACCATCTCTGCTAAACCTGACAAGGTTCCACCAGGATGTCTCACACTTAGCTGATTTGCCAAACCTGCTGCAGCTGCCTCGTGTGGCACCTTCTTCACACGCATAATAATTTGACCACAGTCAAAGTTTTTGCTTAAAGCAAAGAATAAGAGAGTGCTGGTGCAGTGCAGGAGGAGAGCAGAATGTGTTTTAAAGCCTTTTCACAGCTTTGATCTGAAATCTTTTGGGTTCCAGTTAAACCCATTTTGCTCTGCCAGCAGCAATCCTCACAGGAACACAAACAAGGGCCCTGTCTCCTCCCTCTTGCACCACTCACACCCTCTGTGTCTGGGCTTACCTGCCAAATTTCGTGCGTCTCTGTGTCTGGCATGTATGCAAATTAAGCAATCTGTATCTAATGTATATATTGTCATAAATATGCTTCTGAAAAAAACACTGGTAGGAGTGGTTAAAAGTATTAGGCTGAGACTTGGCTTTGTAGGGAGAGCTTCTTCAAAGACCAGGGTCTGAGTGCAGTGGAGATGGGAAAGAGCCTTCTTGATAGCCAGTCTGGAAAGCTTTTCTCTGGAAAACACAGGTAACAGGTGCACTCAATGGTTCTTATGGGTCTCTTCCAGCTCAGGATCTTCTCTGGCCAATGAGCATAGCAGTGGAAGATCAGAACTTTATAGAGGGCTGTTCCCCATGGAAGGAGGAGTGTTGACTGCTGTCCCATGCCACACAATCATTAGTACTGCCAGTCCTTTGCTGGTTCCTTGCTTCTTACCCATTACCCACCTCTTCCTCTTCACTGGATGCACAGTGCCCTAAAACTGTCCTGGGAACAGGGAGCACACAGAGGAGAAAGGAATGGCTGTTCACCAGCTTTGCATGACCCCAGCTCCCAGGGGCAGATTATGTAGACTCCTTGCCTGGAGCAATCTTCCCCTAATTCTTTCAGAATAAGCCCTCCTGCTCCTGATTTCTCCTACTTTTCCATCTTGCCTTGCCCCTTCCCCACCTCACAGGAAGACTGGTTGGGAACCAATATCCAGGTGAACCAGTTTGGGCAGAAAGAGATCTCAGTCTATTGACCTCTGTACTCCACCTTCCCTCACCAAGGGGTGAGGTAATTGGATAGCTCATATACATTTCTGAAAAAATTGTAGGAAGAGTAAAGGAAACACGACTAGGAAAGATGGGATGGTTCTGCAAGGCAAGGGAGAAAAAACAGTCCAGGTCATGCCAGAAGCAAAGTGGGAATTTATGGGGAGAAGTTCTCACTGACTTAGCAAACTCAATGGCTGCAGGAACAGACAGATGGCTGCTCAGGGCTGGGAGTGATGGAAAAAGCTCAGTGGCGGTGCACTGCTAAACAGGGCTTAGCACTAGGCTCAGGTCATTGTTGGGTCTGGAAGCTTAACCTCCTCTCTAGGGCACTGAGCAGTGTATGACTACTTTTCCCACCCAACAGCCACCAGGCTGCTCTGGTGATGCTGAGAAGTTTGCACCTTGTTTCTCCTGTGCTGTGATCACAGCATTCCCATGCACTGGAAATACTTGTTTTGGAGCGTAGGTATCTCTGACAGTTAATTTAGGCTGTGAGCAGGGACGTCATCCACACACACAGGATGTTTGTCTGCTCTCCTCTCTGCCAAGGTCCTTCATTATGATTAAGGCTGACATGGGGAGGGGACGGAATTAAGTTTTTGACCAGCTCTGTCTTCTCCAGTTCCTCCATGCCCTTTGCAGCCACTTGCAGGAAGAATGAAGGAATAATCCCAAGTCTGGATACCATATCACTGTAGCTACAAGACAGTAAAATAAAATAATTCCTTATTACGGAAAGGCCATTAGCTCTGGGTTGAATGGTCTGCTTCAAAGTCTCATTAAAATACCTCCTTCTAGCTACTAAATACTCATTCCTGCTATCTGTGAGAGCTAAACCATATGCACAGTTATGATTAAATGTGGGTGCTGCAACTAACTTCTGTTAGTTCAGAGCACGACTATCAACTCAAAGCAATAAGTGGTAAGAACATCCTTCTGTTATGAGAGTTTAGGGTGGCATCAACTGTTGTGCATACAAAGTTTGGGTGAAACAATTGACCAGGAAAGAAAACCCCACAGAACAAAGCCAAACACAAAAACAAGAGACAAAACCAGGAAGAGAAAATTAATGCAGTCTTGGAAGTTATATCATACATGTACTGTAAAAGAGGATCAGTTTGAAAGGGATTGGGAAATTTCACAGAAACCATGTTGTTATCTATGTAAGTAAAACCAGACCTAATTATCAGGCTGTGCGCAGTCATGCTGTTCCTGTTAGCACAACCCTCTCAGAAAGTGAACAAAAATCAAGTAATTTTAGGGCTCCTATTACCTGCAGAAAAATCTGAGGATGGAAAGGAAGAAAAGAGTAAGTAGCCTTAGGAGGTACTTTTGGCCTTCTAAACATTAGCTGGTAGTAGAGGCCGCTGGACTGCTAACTAGCTCATGTTTGGCTATTCTGCAAGTT